AGTCAGACTGGAGTTAGACTGGAGTCAAACTGGAGTCAGACTGGAGTCTAACTGGAGTCAGACTGGAGTCAAACTGGAGTCAGAATAATATTAAATTGTAGTCAAGCTAGAGTTTCTAAGGGAAATCAAACTGAAGCCATATAAGAATCTCAAAGTAAAGTCTGATTAGTTTTTCAAACTGGACTGAAAAGAGTTTCTGAGGCCAACAAATATCCTGCCAAAATATCTTCAGTTTAAAATAATTATTTTTTTTAAATCTTAATAACATCTTTTGAAATATAAAAACATTCACATTCCAACTACGTTTTACACAGACCATCATCTTTTCTTCTGTGAATATAAAAAGACGTTTGAGCATCGAGTTTGTTCTTTTGAACACAAAGGAGTTGATATTTTCTGCTGCACACCTGTCAGACTAAAAATACATCTGAATCTTTTACAGATTAAAAAAAAGACGACAGAAATCTCTGCTACACCTGAAAACTGTTTGTATTTTTTGATTTGACGGTAGGATGAGCTCAGCATGAGAACGTTTGGACATTTCTGCTGCCAGGACTGGCTGAAGACTGGTTCTGGTTCAGGTTGGATCCAGGGTCCAGACCTCAAACTGCACCTGTCATTGCATGTCCGTACTGATATACAAAGGCAGACAGACATGGTGTTGATGTTTCTGTTAAAAAACATGGTTGCATGTTTCAATAGTTTTTTTTAGTGAAGACAATTTAAAAATTGCACAAGGTGCCTTCATAATTTGTTTTCCTGTTTAAAGCCCCGGTGTTGATCTTCCTGTGTGCGTCCTGTGTTTCAGATGGCGGTGTCCCAGAACACTGTGGTGTGGCCAGAAGCCGTGGGCGGGGCCGAATATGGCGGCGGCTGTTTCCTCTTCCAGCTGGGCAAGTTGGGCATGCTGTCTTGTTTACACAGATTCTTCTCCGGTCGCTGACGAGCCTTTATCTCTCGACACAGAACTCTTTTCTTCTCGATCATCTCCATCATGGTGGCGTCGCCACAGAGCCATGGCATCTGGTGATGAAGAACAGCTCATCATCAACACATCAGACCCGAAACACACTGCTGTAAACTCAGTGAACATTGAGCTTTATTGTGGAAATCTGTGATCATTTAACTGAGTTAATCAGTGTTAATCTGACTGACTGACATGTTTCTGTCATCATAGACCACGAGGAGGGAAACGTGTCAGGAGACAGAGGGAGAAGAGGAAAGTCAAGAATGTGGGACTGAGAGTTGCAACTCTAAATGTGGGGACAATGACAAGCAAAGGTAGAGAGCTGGCTGACATGATGCTGAGAAGGAAGGTAGATGTTTTATGTGTCCAAGAGACCAAGTGGAAAGGCAGCAAGGCTCGCAGCATTGGAGCAGGGTTCAAACTGTTTTACCATGGTGTGGAAAGAAAGAGACATGGAGTAGGGCTGGTCCTGAAGGAGGAGTTGGCAAAGAATGTAGTAGAGGTGAAGAGAGTGTCAGATAGGGTGATGTGTCTGAAGGTAGAAGTAGAAGGTCTGATGCAAAATGTTGTCAGTGGTTATGATCTGCAGGTTGGATGTGATGAGGAGGAGAACGATACATTTTGGAAAGATCTGGATGAAGTGACAGAGAGTTTTCCCAGGGAGGAGAGAGTGGTGATGGGAGCAGACCTGAATGGACATGTTGGTGAAGGAAACAGAGGATGAGGAAGTGATGGGTAGGTTTGGTGTCAAAAAAGAAACCAGGAAGGACAGATGGTGGTGGATTTTGCCAAGAGAATGGAAATGGCTGTAGTCAACACTTATTTTATTTTATTAGCTATTTTATTCTTATTTTATTAGCAAACACTGATAAATTCCCGATCCCGTCTCTCTTCCTGTCCAACATTCGCTCTTTTGAAAACAAGTGGATCTGCTGCGACTGAGATTGAGTGCCTCAGAGGAGATGAGGAAAATGTGCTGCTGCCTCATGGAAACTTGGCTTAACAAGAACATGTCGGACTCAGCATTTCAGATGGACGACAGACTTTTTTGGGGGGCAGACCGCTGCAGTGAGCTAACGGGGAAGACATGGGGTGGTGTTTTTATCTACAGTACATAAACCAAGGTTGGTCCACAAACTGTGTCCTGATAAACGGCTCATGTTCCGAGGCTTTAGAAGAACTAACTGTGAAAGGTCAACCACATTATTTACGTTGTGAGTTTTTAGCGGTGTATATCATTGCTGTCTATATAGCCCCGGATGCTAATGCTAAAGATGCTCTGCATGAGCTACATGATAACATCAGCTCGCTTCAAAACAAGCATCCAGAGACTTTTTACATAGTGGCTGTTGATTTTAATCATGTAAACCTGAAAGACACTCTGCCAAGATTTTATCAGCATGTGATCATAACAACACGGGAAAATAACACACTCGACCGTGTTTACACCAACATACGAGATGCATACAAAGCCATACCCCACCCCCACCTCGACCTCTCTGACCATATCTCAATCTTCATTGACCCTGTCTACCTCCCGCCACTGAGACATTCCAGAACAACACAGGGGACCGTCACCGTGTGTGAACAACTGTGATTCTGTACTGCAGGACTGTTTTGCACATACAGACTGGCAGATCTTCAGGGAGGCTGCTGAAAATGAGGGAGAGCTGGATCTGGAAGAATACACATATACTGTCCTCGGATACATCAGCAGTTGTGTTGAAGATGTCACCACCACCACTAGTGAAGTGTTACCTGAACTTGAAGCCCGGGCTGAACACAGACCTTGCTGAAAGCCATGGACTCTGCCTTCAGGTCTGGCAACTCACAGGAACTGGGGAGGACAAGAAAATAACTGGCTTCTGGTATTAAGAGGGCCAAAGCAACATACACATGGAAGATCCAGGGACATTTCTCCTCACAGGACCCATGGAGCATGTGGAGGGGCATTAAGTGCATAACAGACTGTAAAAGCAGGGGTGCACAATGCCATAGGGACCCATCACTGCCTGATGTTCTTAACAGGTTCTCTGCCTGCTTTGAAGACCCAAATAGACCACCCAGCTCCAGACTCACCTCACCACCAGAAGGGGAGTTCCTCAGTGTGACCTCAGTAGAAGTCAGAAGCACCTTCAAGAGGATTACCAGTAATTCTCACAAAACAACTGGCCCAGACAACATCCCTGGGAAGGTGCTGAAAGACTGTACCAGTCAGCTCTGAGAAGTGTTGGCCGACATATTTAACTCCTCCCTCACCCTGGCAACTGTTCCTACATGCCTGAAGACTGCCACCATCATCCCAGTTCCAAGAGCTCTGCAGTGACTGGTCTGAATGACTACCGGCCAGTAACCCTCACCCCAATAGTCACAAAATTCTTTGAAAGACTGGTCATGGCCCACATCAAAGCTGCCATTGACATCAGCGAGGATCCACACCAGTATGCATACCGCAAGAATCGATCAATAGAGGACACCATCTCTTCTGTGGTCAACACTGATCTCACCCACCTGGAGCAGAAGGACTCCTATGTCCATATGCTCTTTGTGGACTTCACATCCACCTTCAACACCATGATTCTCCAGGCTCTGGTGGACAAATTACTAACACTAGGACTAAGCCCCTCCATATGCAACTGGGTCCTGGATTTCTTAACCGACAGACCACAGTCTGTGAGGATCCACAACTTCTCCTCCTCCACCATAACCCTCAGCAGCACTGGCTTCCCTCAGGGCTGTGTGCTGAGCACTCTCCTGTTCACTCTGCTCACATATGACTGTGCACCAACCCATCCAGGCTGTCCCATTGTAAAGTTTGCAGATGATACAGCGGTGGTGGGATACATCACAAACAATGATGAGGCCAGCTACAGGCAGGAGGTGGAACACCTGGAGAGCGGATGCAGGAAGAACAACCTTCACATCAATGTGAAGACGAAGGAGATGGTCGTGAACTTCAGACGGAAGAAACACACCTAACCCCCCACCCCTCGAACATAGGACTGGGAAGCTCAGTCCTCACCTCCTTCTACAGGTGTGCAGTGGAGAGCATCCTGTGCTCCAACATCAACGTGTGGCATGGAG